GGTGGGGGTGGGAGTGGGGGTGGGGGGGTGTATTCTCTAATTGGAACTTGTGTCGGCTGAACGAGAAGTTGTGGGGAGACAAATTATTCATACACACACACAAACACACACATATACACACACATGCTGTACATTTAATCAGTTGGTCCATTAGGTAACCCAAAGTGTTGGCATGAGCTGCGTCCTCAGGGATGTGGGAACCTGAACATCTACACTGATGAAAAATAGGACAAAAATGCTCCTGTGCAGTCATTTGCTTTTTAAATATTACTCTATATATACTAATTTCCACAACTTTATTCATGATCCACTGTTACTGTGCATCTTTTTTTCTCTCCTTTTAACGACCCTCACGGCTACAGAAATACAGAAAGTCAAACATGTGGCCCGAGGCGATAATTCTGAACAAATACTCATTAAATATTTTAAAATGTTTGTATAAAATAAAGCCGACAAACTTCTGGGAAATCACCGACACCGCTCCCATCCCCCAAGTCACGCAGCCACTGGCAGACACACAGACAAACACAAGCCCCTGTCCATTAGAGGTCACATGTGGGTGCACAGCTCATAAAAGTGGTGGCGAGGGGGGCTGCAGCAAGGGTGGGTGGGGGGTTATAACCGTACTGACGTGGGTCTCGGTGACACAGTGACATTGACGGAGATATTTACCGTAACCTCGCTCCGGCCTTGGCTGAACAGGAGACGATGCTGTAATTCCTCTTTTCATTGCAACACTTGTTTGAGTCTGAGCAGCCATGATTTTATAAAGGAAGTCACTCTGGTTCACTGACTGACAGACAGACGGGGGGGAGGGGGGGTTATCTAAAATGTTTCTGATGGCAGAAGCTTGTGATTTTAGAAAAATTAAATAATTGTGGTGATAATTGTTGTAGCCTTTCATTGTCAATCATAGTGTCTTTTCTGATTCTACCACTAGGGGTCACCGAGGTCAGACATTTCTGAATCCTACAGAGAAGGGCCTCAAGAAAATGTATAAATACCATGACGTAAAGTATATTGAATTTAATGTCAAAGTCCTGCATTTACAACCCTGTCTTCAAGAATTACATTCATATACCAATTAATAGTTTTCCCAATTATCTTATGGTGGCAAATTTTTTTTTTTTTTTTTTTTAGGGAATTTGATTTTATATAATCAAAATAATTACACAAGAGGATTTGAGTGGCTGATTCCAGTATGTGATGTGACGACGACTTGTAGGCAAAGAAAGAGATAATTCAGTATGTCTCAATTCCTGGCAGTGCAGAGACGGCTTTGAAACAGCATTCAGACCTCAATGTTGGAAAAGACTATTTACAGCAACTACAATTAAATGGTTGACTGAATAAATAACTTGACAAATTCTGATAATTAAGAACATTTAGAAACTTTATTTTTGGTGTCTGGGGTGGGGATGAGGATTCCTGAACTCTATTTCTGAAATTCTGGTCCTGCAGCCCAGAAAACCATTATGCATTTCCACTGGTTTACCCTTTCCTACCCCCACCTGATTTTTCATGTTTTACCAGCAAATACACTACATTAAAAAAGCAGTGATGTCAGTTCATGGCACCTTTAAATTAAATAGAATATTATTTGTATTACGAGCAAAAAAGCAGGTTTATGGAGCACAATAACTGCCTTGTCTTGTAGTTAGAAATGTTATTAAAGTGTTATTGATGCATAAAGATGTGATGAAATTGTAAACAGTAATTTGATTCTGAACAGCCCTCCAGTGAATGTCTAACTCATGACCTGGAAGAGGCTTGTGTACAGATAGATATTATCTTTATATGGGGTATGTCAGTGGAGGGGGAGAGAGACAGATACATAAATACATACATAAGTAAAGATATTGTGGCTGGTGAAGGTGGAGGTACTTTATATTCTGTTGGATGGAAGATACCACTCTTATATGAAACTACAGTCACAGCTTAGCATAGCATAGCTAGCCTAGCTCTGTCCGAATGTAACAAAATCCATCCATCACATAACCTTTTCGAATTTTGGCAGATTTTGTACCTTTGTCTCAGGAGGAGGAGCAGGTCGTCCACTAAATAGAAGGACGGTTGTTCACCCATAAGTGTATGAATGTGTGAGTGGGTGAATGTAGCAAGTATTGTAAAGTGCTTTGAACAGTCGATAAGACTAGAAAAGCGATAAATAAGCGCAGTCCATTTACCAATTTGGACATTTATTACTTTGAACAGAGCCATGCTTCCTGTTCCTACTTGTTTCCAGTCTCTGTGCTATCTTCTAATCTAATTCTCCACCAGAGAGTTAATAAACATATTTATTTATTGTTTTCGGGTTGTCCGTATGTACGGCCATACGAACATCCATCCGTCCGTCCGTCCGTCCGTCTCATACTCGTGGACACAATATCTCAGAAATGCTTTGATGGAACTTTGGCAGAAACATTCCCTAGGACTCAAGGACGAACTGATTAGATTTTGTTGGTCAAAAGTTCAAAGGTCAAGGTCACGGTGACCTCACAAAACACTTTTTAGCCATAACTCAAGATTTCACTCAGTATTTATGACAAAATTTCACACAAATGGTGAATATTTTATATGACTCTGGATAAACAGGGATGTAACGGAGGCATACAACCAAGAGGCAGTAATTCTAGTTTTTCTTTAAAATGCAAAATGTCTCTTTAAACAGCTCAGAATACTATTTGTGTTCAGTTGATGAGGGAATATACTTCCTCACTTTCTATATCTGCTGAGTGATGAGGGCAGTGTGTTTACAGGATAAAGAACTTGTATTTTCAGGCACATTACACTCTGACCTACATTTTTCCTTTCCTTGTTTCGCTTTTCTTTTCCACCTTATTTCAACCTCTCTCATACCCTCTCTCTCTCTTTCTCTCTCTTTGACAGACCTAGCTGGGCAGTACAACTCAGATTGGTGTGAAATCGCCGCCTAACAGGCGGGAAATTGGCTCTGTTATTTTTGGAGCAGAGTCATGGGGGACCGTCGGACCATCATCCTCTCTCTAATGAGCAGGTGATGGAGGCGTAGCCGGGGAGGGAGGGATGCATGGTGTCTCAAACACGACACACATGGCAGATGTACAGATGAGAGCTGAGAGGGAAAACAGCAGCGACAGAGGAAGCAGAGAGAGAAAAGAGGGAAAGAGTCAGTGCAGTTTCTTGAAGCTAATCTGAATATCACCATCAGATTAGACAAATAATCTTTGTTGACATCCTCCACTCCTGCAAATGAGCGTCAACAGAGCTGGACTTGGCCTGTGCACAGTGTGTGTTTATGCTGAGGTGATGGAAGTTGGGGGGGGGGGGTGATTTGGTTGTAGCCAAGCAGGGAAGTGTCAGGCACAATCCTCTCTTCAGCCAAAGCAGAGCATCGTCTGTAGATCAGCGATTTCCAGCCCCCCCCCTTTAGTCACATAAGAAGTGAAGTTAGAGGAAAGGTTTACACTTCCACAAGTCTGTCTTAACTCATTAAGACCAGATGAAACATCTACGTGCTTCTCCCTTTAAGACCAGATGAGATGAACACACATAATATATAATTTTGTCATTTTTAAGACATGCAAAATTTATTGTGATTTACTGAAACTCAGGTCAGGAAGGCAAAATCCATTATGGGAAATGTATTTTGTTTTTTTATTTTTTTGGTAGTTTTAGCCACAAAAAAGTTGTGGTTTGGACAATGGCCAACGACCAGGGGAGAAATACCAAAGCAGATTACAGCAGTTATCTGGATGAAAACAACAAAAACTACAACTTGGAAGATTCAGGCACTGACTTCAACCTGCTAAGCTTCCAACCAGCTAGCTAAGGCTCAGGGTGAGACACAGTGACTGCTAAATTACCTTTTTTTGCCTCCTCAGATAGCCTACTGCTACCTTGCCAAGTTACATAAAGAGATAGTACCACAAAGAGGAAATATTCAATAAACACTTACATACACACAAAATAATCATTGACTGACCTTAGGAGTTTGCGGAGAATGACGACTGCAGATTTTTGTCCCACATCACTTACATTGGATTTTCTGCAAGAAAGGATTTATATACAATATACCAATAACTTCTTCAGTTTACACACTGATGATTATTGTTTTAAGAATGAATCCATCCTTTCATTCTTCTATCAGTAAGAGTGGTAGAAGCCGACTCTGTGAACCATTTATCAGCTTCCTGTTTTAGCAGCATGTGGTGTTCAGGTGTTACAACTGACTCAGGTTATTGGTGTCCTGTGCAGTCAGGCTATCTTAGCTGGTAAGTTATTGTTTATTGTGACATTGTTAATACATTTTTGTAATCCTACTGTTTAATTTCCTTCTTTGTATACCCTTTGGATATACTTTGGATACCCCAGCTATGCAACCTTTGACCTATGACCATCATAGGTCATCCTTGAGTCCAAGTGAATGTTTGTGCCAAATCTGAAGACGTTCTGTCCAGGTGTGACTGAGTTATTGTGTCCATGAGAATGGGACGGATGTCCATACGTACATATGGACATCTGTATGCCAGCACAGAGGCATAAAAACACTAAAGTCTTTCAAATCATATTTATGTGTAAGAAGTCCAGATGAGCTGTAGTGTACACCAAAAAGAACTGAAGCAAGTTCACAGTTAGTCCTGATGAAGACTTTTTTCTAATCTCCAAGTAACTGGCTAATTTAAGTGTTTCATATGTGAACAGCCAGCTCAGTCTTTGAGCATTAAACCGTAGTGTTACATGCAAATACAGCAGCACTGGACTGAACCTGTGCACAGTGTGTTTACGCTGAGGTGATGGAAGTTGAGGGTGGGGTGGGGGGGGTGGGATTGTGGCCAAGCAGGGAAGTGTCAGGCACAATCCTGTCTCCAGCCAAAGCAGAACATCGTCTGTAACAGAGAAGCTACACACACTCCACTGTCATCGGCACATCGCACTGCAGTAACACACACATCATTTCTCATTCACACTCATTTGAACCGTACGCTGTATTTTAGATACACCACATGTATGAGACACAGTTCAGTTTATATGATTCATTTATGTCATGTTAATAAGATGTTACAATCACGTTAGCATACATGTGACAAAACCTTTCCCCATGACTGGCCGAGAGCATGCACAGTCACTGGTTTAACTGGTTTAACTGGAGCGGACTCGTGGCCACTGGAAGGCATCATCCCTCAGTATTCATCACGGCCCATAAAGTCAGACAAACACTGAATTGACACAAACACACCACACATCCCAGGCAGAGCCCACACGTCCTCTGGAAAGGATCTTTGTTTTTTTTCCCTCTGAACTGGAAGGTAGCAGCAGCAGCTCAACACTGCCCCCTACTGTCTGACATTCAGTATTCATTTAGTGCAAAAGGAGTGATAGAGTTCAGTCTTAAGCCTGTGGTGTTTTATTAGAGGCTTTTCAGCTGCTTTAGTGTCTTTTTCAGCTGCTTCAGGTAATCATTTAACAATTAAATTTAACAGTTACAGCTCTTACAAATCCAGAGTATACATGATTAGTGTGATTTGGCACTTTAGTAAAACAATGTTTGCTGCAATGTAGTATTTTTTAAAATAAAGAAAAAAACCCTTTAACAGCGATTAAATTAGTTTTTCTCATCATACCCTGAAGAAAAAAGAAACTATGGAGATGCAGAAGCCACGCCATCAACTTGAAACTTCTGTGAAACTTCTGTATATGTAACTATGATATAATCATATCTGTTCTTCATTGTACCTCTTAAATCAAAGTTTCCCTTTTTTGACCTCGTCTTATTTTTCATGAACCCCTTTGTCCATCTCCACGTCATCCATGTTGTGTTCTCATTATATTTAACCCGTTATTTATGGTATTTGTAGCAGTGAAATCCTCCAGTGTTACACACTCTTCTCTGTGTACAGTTCCACTCATTCTATGTTTTGTTCGGTGTCGTGGCGAGCCAGTGCGGCTGGTAACGTGGTCCCACAGGGGCCATGGAAGTGGAACCTGAAACACAAACCCAGAAAGAAACATCGTCTCTGCTGTTGATGCTGTAATAATGTGAAATGAATGAGTGAAAATGTCACATGTATGTGGTGTGAATGAAACGAATGAAACGTACTTGAAGCGCATGGTGGCCGGAGTGTCCTCCATGTTGAATTCGGCCACAGGTACGCCTCTCGCTGCCACCTGAGGAGCAAACATGGCGGCTGGATACACAACTGATGACGTACCAACCTGCAGAGGGAGAATTATTTAGTAAATTATTTAGTAAACTTTAATCACAATAAAGAAGTCAGAGAAAAAGTATCTTTGAAAAACGATGCAAGAGAGCAGATAAAGTTTTCAAAGATAACATTTTTTATTTCAACATATAAAACGACAGGCTGATGCTGTCATGACTTTTCTACATTTCACATTTAATTTAAAATTTTTAATATCCAATGGAACAATGCCTCTCAGTCCTTTCATCAGCTGCCTAAGCCTGAATGTTCTCCAGAAGTGACACTGACATGGATTTTCACTGTAGTAGATTTAGCGTACAACTACTTCACCATAAGTACAGAAGTCAATATAGTCAATAATCAATCAGTATATTTTGATTGATGGTTTAAATGACTTTTTTAAGCAAAATGCCACAAAACATGAGACTCTGCCGCATCTAGTTTGACCTTTGTTTTTTTAACATGGAGTACATCTTTAATGAAGTATAATCTGCAGATTTAATTGATTGAAGAAAAAAATGGTCATATTTAGCCCTAATTAATACCCTTTATGCACACACACAAACACACTCACTCACCACAAGGCAGAGGTCACAGCTGTCCAGCACTTTCTCTGCGTTGGTGAGGATGTCGGAGTCCAGAGTCTCTCCAAACCAAACCACAGCTGGTCTCAGGAGCCCGTGGCAGCTCGTCTGCTCACACCTGAAACACACAGAGAGAGAGAGAGAGAGAGAGAGAGAGAGAGAAAGAGAAACACTCTTTGTCAAAACAAATAGTCTAGTTAGAAAAGAGCAGAGCATTAATTGATTTTTACCTGGGCAGCTGCTGAACAGGGATCTGGGCGTCATGCGTGTCTGGGTCTGGAGCTCTGAGGAGGGAGTTTGATGAAGAGGTTATAGGGGGAAAAAGGGCAATTACACACAAATACTCTCTACATTCCCAAACTATGTTAAAAGAAGAGATAGATGCAGCAGGGATTTAATATAATACTGATGTTCCTGACTGATATCATAACAGCTTCAATCCAATAAAGTTAGTAAATCCAAACCATGTTAATGTTACAGTTTCATTATGAGAACATTCCCAGCCTTACACTTGTCTTTTGATCATTTTCATCATGTTTTTGACACAAAAAGAAAATTAATCAAACTATAAAAAATATCATAAAAACATATAAACACTGACAAAAAAGATGGATCCTGAAAACTGATCCTGAGAAGTGATATTTCCTTTTCCAACAAACAATAAAGACAATTTGTCCATACCTTCAGATACGACTCATAGGAGCGTACCGTACCTTTGTCGTCATGGTTACCTGACCACCCCAACTTCCTCCTCCTCCTCCTCTTTTTACATCACCTGACTTCCTCCTTTCATTATTACAGCGGCCATTAGACATCAAGTAACAATAAAATATAACGAGTTGCTTTATGAGGTGACCTATGGGCTTGTTTTTTATAAGACTGTTTCTCCTTGTGAGTATTTTCATTTATATATTCATTTCTATACTTATTTGTGATTTCTCATCTTTTGAATGTATCCTCTGACAGTGACCTGTGTGAACTCGCTGTATTCCCTGACATGATGAGTTTTGATATTCATTTTCAAATTCATCTTACGATTTCCTTCATTTTACTCCTGCAGGTGAGATGCAGTTTAAAAGTGGAACATTTGTCAGTTATCAAAACATCAATTTTAAATGTCAGATAAATGACAAAGTGGCTTTTAAACTGACATTTTATTTTTCACCAGGTGTTATTTAGCTCCCTGACATCTAACAGACTGCATCTCTGGCATTTTGAGCTCAAATGAATATGATCGATATCTCTCGTGACACATTTTCATATTGTTCAGGGAAATAGAGGAATACGCCACAAACACACCGACAGACGAAGCTCTTACCCTTTACCCTCCAGAGCAGCACATATTGGGCTGTTGTAATTGGCTGCTTCATGACCACAGCTCATGCAGCGAGTTCTAAACAGACTTCCTGGTTTAACAAAAAAGACAGAACAGACAGAAGAAAAAGATTAGAGTTGAAAGAAAGAAAATAAATCAACAACTTCCTTTCTTTTCTTTTTTAGAATCGTTGAATTTGATCTGGAGGATTAGATATTTCTTCAAACCTTTTCATTTATAAAGATTCCAGTTCCTAATTTTATGACGTTTTATGGACTAAACCATTGGTCCACAATTAAAAAAATATCATTGGCACAATCATGAGAATGAAATGAGAATAATCAGGCTAATGATCATTTTTATTTTGGGTTTAATCTGCCATTTATTTTCTCAAGTAATCTGTAGGAGCTATTTACTAGTTTGTCGGTTGCTTGTTATTATTATTTATTTGTCTGTTTTGAGTTTGCATTGCTTTAATCAATGTTTTATTTTTTTTGATAATATTCTCTTTAGTTAGTCATTAGTTTCTTTATATTTTTTGCTTATCTAGCATAGTTAGTTTTGGTTAACTAGTATTTTGTTTATTTTGGGTAATACTATGGGCACATGAGGTTATTTAGGTAGGTAGGCTGGTTTAGGACCAGCATGCACCTGGATAGTTTTTTACCAGAGCAGGAGAGGCAGCAGGAAACATGTTCCCTTTGTTCCTTGGATCGCTGCTTGTTTGAATGAATAAATCAAAAAGAAAATGGCTTTGTTTGGACAATATATTCTTTTGCCTGCGTAAACCACATACCCATGGTGCATCAGTGGCCTTTTGATTTTTATGTTGGACTTAAATTAATCTGAAAGATAAATAGCCACTACCAGGATCTATAGAATTCAGAATATAGTGAAAAATGGCAAAAAAGTGAAAAAGCAGCAAATCTTTTAAAGTTCAGAAGCTGCACTTTGAGAATCTTTGATTACAAGAAAAGTTAAGAACAGATTAGTGCAAATATTCCATCGGTACCAACATCAGGTGTCTTCACTGTATTCTGCTTACCGTGGATTTCCAGGATGTTTTTGGATCCAGCGCGGCGATGGAGCTCATCGATGTTCTGAGTGATGACGGTGACCTGGCGCCCCTGTTTGGAGAGCCGATCCTCGCACTCAGCGATGGCTAGGTGGGCGGGGTTGGGAATCTTTGTGAGCATGACCTCGCGGCGGTAGTGATAAAACTCCCAAACACGAGAGGGGTTCCTGGAGAAGGCCTCCGGAGCGGCAAGTTCCTAACACAAAAGAACAGGAACAGGATGATCACATGTTTGTACAGTAACTCAGTGAATTAAATGAAAATTATTGCTACATATTCTTCTTTTTCATGAGAGTTTTGCTTGGTGGCAATTTAGACAACTGAGCACAGAGTTGTCTGCAGCACTCTGTGTTCATTCATCTTCACAAATGCAGGAAAGTTTCCAAGGAATTAGGCTTGTTGTTTTCTTCTCTGTCAGGACTATTTTTAAACTTTATGTGCACGTCCCATGATTGATTTTATATTTGTTTGAAGTACAAACTCATACATCAGACAAGAGCAGAGAGAAGTCATTGTTAAATTTCCTATGAGCACTCTCTGCAAAAATTTTTCCCCAGTGAAAGATTATTGCTGTTTTACGACTCTCAAAATCATACAATGAAATTATTTATATGTTGTCTTGCAGGTTTTCCTCAGTGGTTAAGTTGAGGGTCAAACACATAAAAGCAACTCTAGTTACTTATACACAACTGAGTAGTTACAATGATGAAAAATATGACAAAAATGGGAACATAAAAATGACATATGCTTCCATCTTCACAGCAACTGACCTTAAAAGTTAGATACACTACGCTACTTTACTCTATATAAATGCAGTGCAACAATTCTGCATCAAATTCATTTTGACAGCTGGTAAACGGGACAGATAGGTGCTTACTTGTGCTTGCCATTTCCTCCAGTAGCCTCCTGCTCCTCTGAAGGTGGGGACTCCACTCTCAGCACTCACCCCAGCTCCGGTGATGATGGCTATTTTCTTGGCTCTGGAGAAAATCTCCCTGAAAGCTGCCAAGTCTGTACATTAAAACACAAACATATAAATTGAAGTGACAACAATGAAAGCTTTGTTGTCTTTTCTTTTACAGGAAGAGGATGTGAATGTAAAGAGTAAAAGTCGGTCTACCTGAACTGGGTCTGGCCATGTCTCGACAGCCCCAGGGTTTCCTCAGGTGGGCATGCAGGTGAGGGTTTATTATGGCTCTACAGGTGAACTGCCGCACAATCATCAAGCTCTGGCAACTGGGGAAGAAAAATACACTATTCACAATAGAAACAAGAGCTGATTTTCAATTCAGTTTGTGCTTCACATGTATATAAAACATGTTCATTGTATTCCCTAATAACAGACAGACTCCAATAAGTTAAAAAAAGAGGCGTCAGTGAAACGGGAAATGCCTTGAAAACTCAGGTATTTATCTTTTCCACAACTTTAACTGCTTTAAATTAGGTTTCAAAAGTGGCAGCCATGATTAGCTGAGAGGCAGAAAGGTCACTGTGGCTAATATTAAGCTCAGAGGTCGTGTCAGTTAGCACAAAGCCAGCCTGGTTGCTAATTATAACATGAACCAGGGGATTAAGTGTGATTCCTTCAGTAAAACAATAATTTTAATATAGTTTTTTTCCTGCGCACTAACAAGCTAAGTATGGACTTTCCTTCCTACACCTGTCGTTAGGTATGCTAGCAATAAGCTAAAAAGCTAACAAGCTAACTGTCGCCGGTACCCAAGGAAACAGCCAATGAAGCGGCGTCAGTAGCGTCATGTTACAGCGTCTCGAGCCCTCAGCTGGACATATCTCCAGGGGAAGAGCTGGGTCCTTCTGTAAGATGTGTTTTTTATTGGCTGTAATTACCTGTCAGACCCGAAGCCAGCAGGACCATCAGCTGTAGGAACCAGGAAGTGTTTTTTTATTATTGACCAGAGATAAGCCTATCAAGAGGAACATCGAGTTAAATAACAACCACACCTTCAAACATGGTGAACCAGCAGAGGGAGCATTTGTACCACACTAGGCTGTTTGCAGTGGAGATGTATGCAAAAGTTAATACATATTTGTATATTTTTGAAGTACAACCCCAGCTTTTCATTTCATGGATTAAGAAAGAAAGAAATAAAGAAAATCAAGCTAGTAATTGATATGTGCAAAGGTTTGTAGTAAGTAAATAAGTAAGATGTTGTTGTATAAGTCACCTATAAGATATATTATTATCACATATAGAAATCATCTGGATATATGAAGATATACGTTTATAACATATAGGAAATACCCATAGTGAAATGTTTTAATACATTAAAACTTTAACGATATGAAATTAATGTATTTATTAAAATAACATGCTTTATAACTTCTAATATAGATTTATAAAAAAATCTATCTGGATCCATCTCTTTACTGTACACACACACACACACACACACACACATATATATATATATATATATATATATATATAAAGTTGTTTAGTTTACACAATTAAGTTGTTTAGTTGATAAAATGTCTATAAATTGACAGGTTCCCACAGTCCAAAGTCACTTCCACCAACTGTCTGACACCCAAAGATGTTAAATTTACAACAGAGAAAAGCAAAAAATCCCAATTTGAGAAGCATTTTTGGATTTTAATCAATTCTCAAAATTGTTGTTGATTATTTGTCAATTATATAAAATAAGTCATTAGCTAATCATTTTAACTCTCCTGTAGATATGGGCAGCAGAGAGCCTGTTTTTTCTCATTGGCCGGTTCTTAACGTGGAGCTGGAACCTGAGCAGGTGGAGCTGACTTGCAGGAAAAGAAAGGATCAGTCGCCTTTCAAGGCTCTCTCTCTCTCTCTCTCTCTCTCTCTCTCCCCTCCATCACCAGTACAATAGCCCGCCCCCCTCCCAAACCGTCTGCCCGGGCGGGTGCACGAGTGGCTGCTGCTGCGGCGCCGAGTCTCTCGCAGTCCCGCCGGTCGCTAGTGGACTCTGCCCGGCTGGCCGAACATGGCGGCGGCCCCGGAGGAGGAGGTAGACCGTAGACCGATCCGGAGGGTCCGGTCCAAGAGTGACACGCCTTACATCAACGAAGCGAGGATCTCTCTGCACCTGGAGACAGGTAGGGCAGCCAGGCAGCAACACGGCAGCTCCTTCATGTCTGGGTGCATGTTAGCTCCCTCCACGGGGGGGATATTGTAGTGAATCGGTTCTCGCTGGGAGAGAAATTGCTTCATCGGTTCAGTGACAGTTCCCACGCATCAGCATGACTTTGGGCTTTCATTGTGCAGGTCTGACGGTACCCATGGTGCTCAGCTGCACCTTGGTGGATGGTAACCACACAGTGACTCATGCACTGGGACGCATTTCTCACATAGACTGGCTTTTATTCCAATTATCCATGTGATATGTGGTCTACTCTGCAGGGCAACGGTTAGGTATGGGAGAAAACCTAATTCCCCCCCCCCCGTTAGACGATTGATTGCTATTGCTCCGGCTCAGACTCCGCCTTGATTGTCGGCTGCAGTGAAATGTTGTGTGAACTTGGCCGCCTCAGGCTGCTCATTTAAAATGCACTTGTTATTATAGCATTTGGAGAGGGAGTGAGGAATTGATGCTCCGGCATGTGAGATGTGTGAGGGGCTTAAAGCCTGGTCTGTCTGCGGGTAGATAAGTTATTGTTTCCTTTGTTGCCATGGTCACGATGTTACACTGTCACGAAGCCTCGATCAGAAGCATCTTGATTTTGTGCTCATTTATTTTTTAACGCATCTTTTTAGATGTTTAGAAAAGAGGCACTTTCTCCACATCCCCGAAGGAAGGCTGCTTTAATACCACATCAGTGCGGAGCTGTCCACTGCCCCCCGGTGCTGAAAATGCCACCGAGCAGAATAGGCGAACACAGCCCGAAGGATTTGCACGGAATCGGCATCATCTCCACCAAAGATGATGATGATGACCACATCCACATTAGTAGCTACATATATGGAGAGGGCTTTCTGTTTTAAATGAGCTGCTGCATCTAAAATAGCTTGTGTTCGACCCTCCCACATAAATAGCACCGATGTGACAAATCCCAGTCACATGGTTTTGTAGGCTACAGCCCCGGCAGTCTAGGCTAGACTCAAGCCTATATTTTCCATTTCGGACAGATGCCAACTCTAGAAAATTCCCCTGCCTGGCTATTGTTCTGCTTTGTCTTAATTTTCCACCCCTCTTCTGCTCTGACATGAAGCTTGCAATGAGTAATCAAATATGCATAGACAGTCAACTAAAATCTTGATATAAAGGCTATATTACAATCTGTTTTTAATGTGAAGCTATCCTTATTATTTGCCTGAGGCTGAGTTGACAAATGCATGTGACAAACCAGCCTTACATAAATCTTAAAGAGATCAGGAATTACTCACATGCCTGCTCTGTGATATCTCCCCCTTTTAGCCTGCTTAGACCTTTATGACTCATGGTGCTCAGACCCACCTACTCATAATTTCTCTCAGCTGCCCTCTCCCTGGCCCTCAACAATCTTCCTCTCCATTTTGTCTCCTATTAAAACAACGCAGCGCCTCCTCCTCCTCCTCCTCCTCCCCCTCCTTCTCTCAGTCAGATTAGCCGAGCCTCCCCAGTATGAGCAGCACTGTTCTTTCTTTCTTTCTTTCTTTCTTTCTTTCTTTCTCGGAGCTGTGTGGCAGGAGGAGGAATCTGAAGGAGGAGGTGTTGAAGGAGGGATGCGGTGTCTTGCTAACTGTACTGCTGTTGCTGCTGCTGCTGCTGCTGGCTATTAGCTGAAAACAGAGCGGGCATGCTGTAGCTGCATGAGGCTGGCGTGGCATCATACAGAATCCAGCGGGCACTGCCAGCTATATCAGGAGAGGGATATTTTCTTTCACTCTCTCTCTTCAATTCCTGTTTTCTTTCCTTCCCGATTCGGTATAATCTAATTTTTTCTGTCACCACTGAAGCCACCCACCCACTCCTCAATTTCCATTTACATTTCATGTTTGTGTGTTTGGCCTCTACTGTTTTGCATAAATCCAGCCCACTCCTGTCTTTGATATGTGTCACCATTCACATGTGACAAATAACCATGCCATGGATCAGTGTGCATGTGTGTTAATGTGCACGCTTGCCTGGTACATATGTGTGTGGGAGGCTGGCTGCACATGAGTTTTGGGTGTAGTAAACAAGAGTTTATCACCAAGGCTTTTGCCAGACAGCTTGTTGTCCTTCTCCAGCAACTGAACTCAGGCTCACATGATTTCACTACAGTGCGTCACGTTTCTCTATTGTCCACTAATGCTATCAGTGCAAAATCATCACTCTACTACTGGATGTCTTGGTATGCCAGAGGTTTTCAAAGTGGGAGGCAGGCCTCACCAGGGGGGCTCCAAACAGTTTCATGGGAGGATCAGTGACTAGAAAGGAAAAAATATTAACTAAAGTTATTACATTAGATATTAAAAGGAAATCACGTGAATGAGCCTAAATGTGTTTGATTTGGTTAAAGAGATAGTTCAGAGAAACAATAGTTTTGGGGAATTTTACTATTTTTCCCACTTTCCCAGAGTCAGAAACCTTTTTTTTTATGTATTTGGTTTAGTCTCAAGCCAAACAGCAGTATTAGGCTATCTTGGCTCAAATGTTGAGTGTCTGTGGGATCAAATAACATAATCATGATCCCATAGGCATCCAGGAATTGAGCAAAACAAAGCAAAGAACAAAGAACAAAGGTGTGGCGACGTGGGATCTTTTTTCAAGGTTTGTCTGAGGGGAGGCTCACAGTCTCAGACTTTGAAAACCCCTGGCCTAGGCCTTTCTTCACCCTCACCTCATTTAATTTGATTTAGAGAGAATGGGTAACAATTTTAAACAAGGTATGTATGAACAGATTTTGAAATTAGCTGAATCTAATATGTAGAAAAACTGCTAAAAGTTTCTGTCATTACCCTCTTGAACCCAGATTTTGTCTTTAAAAGGGATTTTATAGTTAGAAACAATATTCCACATTATAGGTTTTATAAGGTATGAGCAAAGTAACTGTGAGAAGTATTAGTTTGTGATTGCTGCGCTGTACACCTGGTTAGACATTATTGGGTGATACTCGTCAGCTGGCAGCCAGGTAGCTGATTGTGAGGCATGAATAAAGCAGAGGAAAGAAGTCAGGGGCGAATAAATGAGTCGACAGATAGTTTGACTTAGACATGGGCGACCACGGTTCACTTCCTGTTTCCTACCTGCAGTCAGCGTTTTCTCTCAACCATGTACCATGTTTTCATCAGGATGTTTTGTACATGTTTTTGTACTCCAACAATAACCCTTACTTTACCCACATAGTCGTTGCACAGGAGTCTTTACCAAACTAAACCAGTCACAGCTCAGTGTCAGTGTCAGATCAGTAAACATTGTTTGTTGTTACAGAAAACAATGACAAATGACTTATTTAGTCATTCAGTCTGGAGGAGAATTTAAAGATTTATCAGTCTATTTATATGCCCACTTATTAGACAAGATTCGTTTCAAAGTCTGTTTTTTGGCATTTCTGTTGTGCTTCATCGTCTTGAGCCCATCCAGATCCCAGGCAGCACTGCTCTGCTCCAGAAATGTAAATCCAGGTCAGCTTGGTTAGAGCTTAGCCCCTCTCACAAAGACCAAGATGCAGGCATTACCACGCTCTCATTCAAAGAGAGAGAGCACTAATACAGACCTGAATGAAAGACAGAGACAGAGAGGGCTTAAATGAGAGGAGGAGGTGGAGGAGCAGGAAGAGTCGAAGGAGGAGGAGGAGGAGGAGGACAGGATGGCAGGATGGAGGCTTTTAAATTGTAGCACCATGAAGACTGGCACAGCGAAAAAGAAACAGGGTTGGCTGTCGTCCACAGAATATGGTGGGAACGGTGCTCACACAAACTACCTCCCACTATCTGAGTAATACTCTTTAGTCTCCCTCGTCTGCTGCGTCTCTGTCTCGGGCGCATACGTCAACGCTGCCATCTGCATACATTAGCCAGGCCTTGAACAGCGGAGTGCCACGACTACCTGGGCAGAATACAAAAACACAGGGGAGGAAGTGTGAGGGCTTTAAATGCAGAGAAGTACTTCCACTGCCTTGCTGTCTCCCACTGAACACACAAAAACCCCTCACTCTTCATCCGCTGGCACGTGGGTTCATCCGTTCAGCCCGGACAAGCTAGCCATTGTGCAGCGAGAGAAAAGCTGAGCCAAGAAAGGCGTATGACTCAGACTTAAGCTGACAATCAAGATAGTGGGAAGGTCTCTCAGCTGTTGTGATGACCTAACCCAAACCTAACCCTTGGGTATTTGTACGCCGTTGTGGGCGTGTGAGGGTTGAGCACTTTGTATTTTTGTCTGGACCACCAATTACAGTAAAGAGCTGAAACGATTGGTAGATAAATCGTTTAGTTAACTGACTGAAACACTTTTTGATATCCAATCAATTGTTTTAATCATCTTTCAAGTAAAAATACCAAACATTCCCTTGTTGCAGCTTCTCATCTGTGAAGATTTGCCCCTTGTCTTTGTTTAATATTGTCATGAATTGGTTGTTCAAGTGAACTGGAGATGCCACCATGGGATTTAGCAAATAATGGTGAACATTTATAACTATTTTCTGATCATGTATTGACCAAATGATTAATTGAAAAATAATCAATTCAAGTAATTTGAAAATGAAAAATAAATAATAAAATCTGCATTTGGACTGGACTTTTGGCTGAGCGGTTGGCTGATGTCATAGACCGTAGATATTCTCAGTTTAATTGTATGGGATCCAAACTACTTGGTTACTTGTTTAGTTGGTACAATGTTGGTAATTTGATCAGTTTGGTGTGTTGTCCAGCCTGAAGTCCTTAGGAAGTGTTGTCATTTATCCTTTGGTTGTATCCACTTTCCCTCAACCTGCTTTGTCGACCTCTGCTTCTCAAGTTGTCAACAAATCCCATTCTACACACTGGACTAATAGCTTTTCCTTTCAGAGACACATGTCAAGAAATTGGCCATTTACAGCAAATGGTCAAACATTTAGATTTGGCAGAAAGGACTCATTCTCCCTAATAAACACATAAATGGTCATTAAAGAGCTTAGTTCAATCAACAATACCAGAG